GAATACGGCCCAGGTCGTGGTGGTTAGAGGTCACTGTCGCTAGACATCAGCATTCAGTAGTTCGATTGGAACAGGAACGCTGCTTCCTATCGCTGACGATTCTTTAAGTCTTTTCTTAAGAATAATGGTCATGGTGCTCCAGAAATATGGAGAGGAGTTCATTTCAGAGCTGGACTACTAGAAACTGTCAAAGAGGCAATCATTCATTAGTTCATTAATCGAGTTCTGCATTATGTTAAATTCTATTCGAAATATTTTGTGAACTCTATTCTCGTAGGTCGAACATTTATTTTCTAATATTTTTTTTTAATTTTCTGTCTTGAGGCAGAGCTAGGGAAACGCATATTCAGAATTGCTTAGGACCGTCGTTAAAGATTTAAACTACAAGGCTATTTTGTTATGCCTTTTACTTCTGAAAAATAGACACAGTACAAAATATTTATAAATGGAATATTCCTACGCAAGTAAATAAAACAAAAATATAAAATTTTAACAACAAATAGAACTTAGACCTGTAAAATAAAATGAGAATACCATAGATATAGTTGATGGCAATGAAATATGCATTGTTAAGGATAATTAAAAAACTACTGGTCCTATTTTAGTAAAATTTGAATGGTGTGACATGATAAGCACCAGTTTTCAAATAAAAAAAACTAAAATTGGTTCATTTATCATTTACCACAGGTACATTTACCACCATTCCACCTATTTCTGCCATGAAGCAGTAATGCGTTTCGGTTTGAAGGGTGGGGCAGCCGTTATAACTATACTGAGCCTTTGAACTTATCTCAAGGTGGGTGGCGCATTTACGTTATAGATGTCTATGGGCTCCAGTAACCACTTAACACCAGGTGGGCTGTGAGCTCGTCCACTCGTCTAAGCAAAAAAATAAATAAAAAAACAAAACATAAAAAATACAGCCCTTAAATTTATTTTCAAATCTGCTAATAAACTAGTCAAACTTTCAATTGAATAACAAAACTAGCTTCAAATAGTTTGATGCTAAAGTCGTTCAGCTCTAATTTTAAGTTAATACATTTTAACGCGTTCCTTTATAATTTACGACATAGGTAGCTCTCGATTCTTTCTTTCCGTGTGTTAAGGAAGCAAGTTTTGCTCCATAAGCGCAATGTCACCGTGATTTTCTCCAAATCTGACGGTAGGATCGGCTGACGTAGCCCCGCGTAATCTCCACTAATGCCCTTAGCGTGGCACCTAGAGTACGTTCTCCTGCACGTTTGAGATAATACCTGAGGACGTCTCGAGTACGGATGTTTGTTTTTTGGGAGTCGAGAGCTTAGAGGTCTTAGTTAAGAGGCCTTGACAGCTGAAGGTGTTGACACAAGAATGCTTTATGCGAGTATTACGATATGATACTTGATACGTTGGCAAAATTACCTGATTTAATTGCGAGATTAAGTCAAAGCGTATTATTTGTTTTTAGCCGACTTCAAAAAAGGAGGACGTTCTCAAGTTTGTTATGTTTGTTACCTCATAGCTTTTGAGGGGGTGTATCGATTTTGATGATTATTTTTTTATTAGAAAGCTGACGCTTCTCTTGTGGTCTCATTTCAATTTAGTCCAGTTCTGATAATGGTATAGTAAGAAAACCATATAAGTCTTAAATTTGCATTAAGTACGTGCGTGACGAATAGATGAATAACTCAATATCATGCCAACCGATTTCAATGATTATTGTTTTTAGTGTGTATTAATTTGTTTAGGATTTTTTTTATGTTATTTGTATTGTAAGCCCGTACGAATAGGTGTCACTAAACTGAGTTTTGCTTCAGTACAAGAGTCACACGTTCTTGGTCGAAGACCCAGTATGCTGACGCAGCTGTTTTACTTCGAAACGTCTAAATCTATATATATAAAAATGAATTGTTGTTCGTTAGTCTCGCTAAAACTCGAGGGCGACTGGACCGATTTCGCTAATTTTGGTCTTGAAGTATTCATGGAAGTCCAGGGTAGGTTTAAAAAGTGATCATAGTTATATAAAAACAAACAATTTTGTTTTTCGTTTGATGTCCCGTCCCCGGATCGGACGGATTCCTTTTGTTTGTTGTAAGTTTATTTTATACAAAACATTTTGTCTTATATTTATCGATTGAGGCACTACGAAGTCTGCTGGAACAGCTAGTTAATTAATAAAATGAAAACAAAAATCCCGAAATTAAGCCGTAAAAGTATTTTAATTATATAATAAGTCAAAATCACACTTCAGCGATCACAAAGAAATAGTTAATACAATAACATCTAACTGAGCTTAACAAATACAAGATAAAGAAGGATCTCCAAACGTTACGGTTCACTGAATCGATGTAGTCTTGTTAATGCAATTAACTTCTGAGTAATTATCTCGGGTCAGAAATAAGAAACGAGGCTTATAAATTATTTTTATCTTACAACTCAACTAGCAGTGGCAGTTTTCATTTGTTTCATTCTTTCGAAATAGGATTACGTTTAAACAAAATTGAAATACGTATTTTTATATTTATTTATTTTTTATATTTTAAAAACTAAATTATGCTTTTGGCAAATAGAGATATAGCGTCAACTATCATAGAAGAGATAAAATCCACGATCTAACAGAAATGCATCATTAAAACTTTCAATAAATACTTTCGTGAATAAAACTTCCGAACAACTACATTCAGATAATCGTCCTTTCGCCGTTTCTTATACAGATTTCATATCAGTAATTAAACTGACTTCTATAATTAGGTTATAAAGCTAAGACGATATTAAAATGCCCATAAAAGCCTATTAGAATTTAAAAAAGAAAGTTTTTAACACGATTTTATTAGCTTGGTATAAATGTATGTTTATTTATATGTAGCGTAATGTTTATTAGTCATTTTCATCGAATTAAAGAGTTGCGGTTAACTTGAAAATTTGCATACGCTTCATGGATCGCTGACAATACAATAATTATATAACTTCCCTCTTTGTATGACTGTCCTGACCAGAATCAACAGCATATATCATATTATATTTTTTTATATTGTGTAAGCGGACAAAATTACGTTGACAAGTTGGTTTTTGGAATTTTAATTAAATAAATATTTAAAAAAACTAACAAAATACGCTTTTATAGAAAATCCCACTAAAAAATAGAAAATAAATCTTAATAAATTTGAATTAAAAATAGTATAAGAAAAAATGATTTTATTGTAAAAAAGCGTGGTTGAAGGGGGTCAAAATCATGTTCAAAGATTCCGTTACATACTAACATACATACGTCTGAAGCTAATAAAATCGTATTAATATCCATGAACTTTGTCAGAGGCAGATTATCTGCCAATAGAATCTAACATCTAAATGCAACTACACCCTATCGCAACGTTGGAAAATTTTCAAGTGAAAAACACGATATAAATTCATCGGATTTTTAACTTCACAAATGTCAAATGAGATGAGTTGATCGAATTCTTTTGACGTATCTGCAGGGGAGTATCGTATAACAATGACCATAACTCAAGTTTACGCGCTATGTCCCAGCTACGGAGCTTTCCTCAATGATTTATGGCTGGCTGAAGATTGTGGCCCAAGAAATAAATCTGCCGGTATTAATACCCTTCGTGGAGTATCACAGGGGTTAAGGTATTATGAAGAATTAAATGTGAAAGATCCTTTGAGAATTAAGAATGTTATCGTGTGTAGTAATGATTTGTATTAACTATGAGATTATAGTGATTTAAAGATTGAAATGTTTTTTGCACATATTATATTTGTCTTATCATTTACAAAGAGTCGTGTAATAAAAATCAAACCCGCAAAATTATAATTTGCGTAATTACTAGTGGTAAGACCTCTTATGAGTCCGCACGGGTAGGTACTACCGCCCTGCCTATTTCTGCCGTGAAGCAGCAATGCGTTTCGGTTTGAAGGGTGGGGCAGCCGGTGTAACTATACTGAGATCTTCGAACTCATATCTGGGTGGCGTTTACATTGTAGATGTCTATGGGCTCCGGTAACCACTTAAAACCAGGTGGGCTGTGAACTCATCCACCCATCCATTCAATAAAAAATGGATAAAATACACGTCGGAAAATTTTCTAGAAAAAAATGTTGTAGAATTGCTACGAGCTAGCGTAGCATTGGAATGAGAGCTACGATAGTGCTACAACATGAGTTAGATACTTGTTACTAATGATTGCTAGGGAATTGTATTGAATTGTGTATTATGACATTTATAAGATCGTATTTACCGGCAGCAAAGTCAAGTTGTCTTGGCCTAAAGGATAAGATACTTGGTGTACCCGTTTTGAGCGACCCGACCTTATCTGTGTTTCGATTCCAAAGTGTAATAAGAAATTTAAAAAAAAAAAAACTATGTCATGGAGAAACAGGTTATTTGGTTTAACCGACATTTCGCTTAACACGCGACGTTTATCTTTGTAATTATGAAAGTTTCGTTTTATTTGCTATTAGCATCAACAATTTGATGTTTTTAATTAAACTTCCATGATGTTTACCCCATTCAAATAGGTGAACAAGTTTTTTGTCATTATATTTTTTATAAATTTTAAACTTTAAATGGTTCTCCTGTAAACCTGCAAAAATATCCGCTTAAACCAAATGTCATTTCGCTCGTCGATGTGATCACGATCGCCTTTGACGACGTTGGCCTAATATCATCATCATCAGCCATAGCAGGCCATTTCTGGACATAGGCCCCTCCAATTGCACGTCTCTGAGCATGATCCTCTCTAAGGGCCTTATATAATGTGATAAAATCTAAACCAGAAATAAACCACTAAATTTGCACTTGGTAGGGCGTAATATGCTTAACAAAACTGACAGGCTTTTGGAACCAAGTTCCTTATGTGGACGATGCGGAGGGGTACCCTAACCGGGAAAAACGTCCGTAACGTAAGATTTTTTCTATTTAGTTTATAATCTCAAGATGTCGCTGCTCGTAAATTCAACAATTCCTGAATCGCGGTGACGAGATGTTACACAGTTGATAGACGCTCTCGTATTAATTAATCATACTTACCTGGCGTAGGGGATACCGTGATCATGCAGGCGGTTCCCCCAGGGTGAGGCTGCTCCGTTGCAAAGCGGAGTGTTGACCCCTGCGATTATTTTTAAATTTTGTTAATAAATAAATAATAATACAAAATGTCTACCCGAACAATTATTTTCTTTATACCTCGAATAGAACTTAAAATTAATATTTTCATAATAAGGAACTTCGTTCCTATCCGGTGTCCTACGACACCACACATCTTTTTTTAATAATAATGATAATAATAATAAAATAATGATTGCCTTTCATACAGATTTAGATCAATACACTTAGATTAAATAAAAGAAAAGAAAAAATAAAAAAGCAAAAGGAAGTGGCTTAGCTAATGCTGTTCAAAGTCGATAAATCAAACAGCGCTGATTTTCAGTCACCCCCTTTTCCCTTTGATTCATTGCGGGAATCAAGGCTAGGTACGTGTGTACTAGACTTAGAACGCGATATAAACTAGTATAAATATAAGAAAAACAAAACAAAATACAAATTAAATGGTGAAACCAAATACAAAACATACATAAACACACACAGTAAAAACAACCTGTGGGCAGCCTACACCGGAACAACAAAGAAAATAAAATAAAGCATGATAATACTATTACTGATAAGCAGCACAACATTTAATTTTAAACTTCTACTTTTTTTTTGTGTGCCTATTTGAGATCAGCCCTGGACTATGAGCAGATGCGTTGCGTGTGTCCAAGAGGCTCCTCACCAGGAGACTCCTCATTAATCGCCATCTGTCACCAACTCCCTGTATAACATGGCGTTTCAGTCGTTTGATGTAACTAACTTTTGTCAACGCATTAGCGAGGATATTTGGGTGGTTTTCCAGCCGAGTTCTGTGCTTAGTCCCTGTTAGCCTTATCTCTTTCTTAACAGTTCTCATGTTCATGGGTTCTTGAATCTCAGTGTTTGTCACAAACCATGGCACGTTTGCTATGGTTCTTAAGATGCCATTCTGCGTTCCTTGTATGATATTTAAACTGGAGTCGCATGCACTTTCCCCACTTGCAATCCATACGTCCGTATTAGCTTCACGATCATTTTGTAAATTAGGAGCTTATTAATTGTGGAAAACTTCGAGTTACGAGCCATCAGCCACTAAATGTTTTTGAACCGCATCTTTAGCTCATCTCATTTTGATTGGATGTGTTTTTTCCATGACAGTCTTTTGTATATCATTAAAAAGAATTTTATTAAGAGTAAAGTAAGACACTTTATGAAGATTTTAACAAGCAAGGACTAAACTAGTTACTGTAAATACTATAAATTAAATTAGTTTTTGTAAGTCCAATAAAAATGGTTTTCTTTATTTCTTGAATTTCATATTTCGAATTGTGATTTTTTTTTCCGTAAATACACGTTATAATCAAGTCATATTTTAGCGTTATCACGGCTGTAACTTACCAGATATCTTCTAAGTATCTTTCTTCAGTTTCATAAATATCTCCAATCTACTTTGTACGGATATAGTATAATTTAATGAACAAATTCCATATTTTGTTATTCAAGAAACTTTTTCATTACAGATCTAATAAAAGTGCTTTTCGCCGTCAAATGGAAACGTTTGATGTACCTAGTCAAAGAGAAAGATCTGCATAATTCCTTCTTTATTCTTAATAAAACATCACTTCAACTTCATTCCGATATTAATAATGAATTCTTTCAAATGATCTACATTGCGTATACAGTATTAGGTTATATGAGTCGTAGATATAATTTATACGAATTTGTGATGTTATTTTTTAAATTTTTTTTATTGCTTACTTGGGTGGACGAGCTCACAACCCACCTGGTGTTAAGTGGTTACTGGAGCTCATAGACATCCACAACGTAAATGCGCCACCCACCTTGAGATATAAGTTCTTAGGTCTCAAGTAAGTTACAACGGCTCCTTCGTAAACGCCTCTGGGACTTCGTATCCGCGAATAAAATTCTTATAGACGAGCAGTTTGGATTCCGCGCCAGACACTCGTGCGTCCATCAAGTGCACCGCCTCACGGAGCACATCTTACTAGGGCTGAACAGGCGGAAACCCATTCCGACAGGAGCCCTCTTCTTCGATATAGCGAAGGCGTTCGACAAANATAATACCATGCCGCTTAGTAATCTTCTTAAAAACTCACTCGAAGAAGTAATCTAATGTTTAATCTGCATCGGCAAGAAAGAAAAGAAAGAAAAAATTCCTGATCGAGTAGAAGCAAATAATTAACGTAATCACTTTAAATATGATTTATATTTAATATCGAATTCAAACAAGCTTACAGCCCACCTGATTGTAGGTAATCACCGTCACGGACATTACTTGAGTCGGAGCAAATTCTAAGTTATCAATCTAAAGTGCTTTTAAGTACCTTCAAAGATTAAAGTTATCAAAGTTCATAATTAGCTTTAAGTGTTACACGCTAATGGAGTTTATAACGGTAAAAGTATCACCGGATGGCTTTCATCAAGGTAAATTAGGTATATCAAACTCACATCATCACAAAGAAAACTTGAGAACATGAAATTGACGACATTTGTTTTTAGACGATAAATGGACAAACAATATACCTGTTTTAGGGGTTATCAGAGCCTATAGATCTGTTGATAATCCACTCTGAGGTCTAAGTTTAGACGCATAGCGACTGTCTCACTTTTCCTCGTCGAACTCGTCGATCTCGACGAAGAGTTCGACGAGCGAACTAACCCACAGATACAGCCCAGTTTCTCGCTGGATCTTCTCAGTGGGTCGCGATTCCGATTCGGTGGTGGACTCTGCGAAGCACTGCTCTTGCTAGGGCTAGTCTTAACAAACTCTCTCAGGTTGAGCCCATGAGTTCACCTACCCGTCCGGGCGTAGCTTGAATAGCCCCTTAGGCTACCAGCGAATAGGAAAAAAAAATGTCTGACTTTTCAAAACGAAGATACAGAAAGATATGTTCACATACGGTTTTAACGCAAGCAATTACGAATCTTCTAAATTTTTGGATGTAACTGTAGGCAGCAGCTTTGTTGTACATTCCTGACGTCCATGAGCGATGTTAACCACTCACCATGGGGGAGCCATATAATTATCATTAGCCTGTATCTCTCCACTGCTGGATGTAGGCCTCTTCCATAGTCCGCCACAATGAGCAATCCTCCGTCTTCCGCATCCAATCTTTCCCACCATATCGTCGCTAGTCATCGGTTCACCGGGCAGGGGGATGCCCAACGCCCAAGGGGGGCCGTAAGCTGCCTATAATGGCAATAAAAAAAATTTAATTTTTCACATAACGATGTTACTTTCCTAGTCGAAGGCTTTAGTCAATACGTACTGAGTACGATATGTTTTTCTTCTATACGTTATCAAAATTTCATTCGCCTATATTGACTAAGGTTAGTACAGCTATTTGTATCGCTACGGTTTCTTGCACAGTACAATCGATGTACGATATTGTGATAAAGTTAGTAATTACAAGAAATCGATGTATTGAAAAATGAATTACATGCACAAAAATCTATCTTCTACGCGTCTTGTTTGTCTTGAAGTTCTCGAAGGCTCCGTCGGCCGGGTATCTTTTAGGTGAGCCGTGGTTATAGTATTGCCTGCGGTAACCCCTTACCCCGCTCGGGTTCTGACCTTGGGGGATCGGACGCTTTGGCGAGATTGCAGGGGCTCGTTTAGTGGATAGAACCATAAATACCATATTGGGGCCCGCGTTCCGCTACCAAAGTCGGCGGAACTACTAGTTCCTCAAGCTCCGTGCGCCCCCTAGGCGTGGCGACCTCGTAGGAGGTTAGGTCCCCGGCCCAAAAAAAACTCCATTGTTGTGGTTGTGTGTTGTGTTGTCTCGAAGCATTAATGCTTCTAATACTTTATTGCAATTCCAAACGTTACTGCTTCATATGTTGTAGACGTAGTGTACCAAAAACTTAATAGGCAATTGAATTTAGGGCCGCCCTGTCTTACGGTACGTTCTCGGGGCTATTACCGGTGCGCTACGTAAATCTTGTTAATGCGACGCTGGAAGCCGTTTCCTCGATGGCTAATAATTTTATTTTGTTTTGTTAGTCTCGTGGGTGTGTTATCGAAAGGCTTTTTAATAGTACCAATGGGAATTTTAGAAGATTTAATATTCATAATAAACCTTATTAATTTTGAAGCCTTTTTCGAAAATAGCTACGGTACATGGTCACGACATCCACGATATGGGAAAGAAATCGCAATGGATTCGTACCTAGTAATGCGACAGTGTATATATAAAGGCGTAGGAGTTCTAATTCTATTACAAAATATCTATTACAACACGGTAACACCCAACAATTCACTCACTGGTGGTAGGACCTCGTGCGAGTTCGCACGGGTAGCTACCACCACCGCGCCTATTTCTGCCGTGAAGCAGTAATGCATTTCGGCTTGAAGGGTGGGGCAGCCGTTGTAACTATACTGAGAACTTACAGCTTATATCTCAAGGTGAGTGGCGCATTTACGTTGTAAATGTCTATGGGCTCCAGTAACCACTTAACACCAGGCGGGCTGTTAGCTCGTCCACCCAACTAAGCAATAAATAAATAAAAAAATCGGTTAGGAAAATACATCATTATATTAAGACAAGATTTTGATATTTTTTTTCATAAGTTCTCAAAAAGCAACTTCGCTTACTTAACTTGACGGTCACGTTTCGTAAAGACATGCACTCTCTCACTTAGAGCATGAAATATGACGTCGTTTCCGGTGCACACCACGCGCCCGGTATTTCCGGTGGCGACTCATACGCTTCTTAGTATGCTATTAAATATATTAACTGTAATAATACTATAATATTTTTTGTTGGATAGATACCCTTAAAACTCTCCAGTATCGTTTTTGCAGGCTTAGCCGTCAGAGCGCTGTGGTGCGTGATGAATGTCGACCTACACGACGATCTGGGCCTTGAATCCATCAGGAAAAATCTGAGATCAACGTCAGAACGGTACTTCCATAAGCTATGCATCATAATAACCACCTCATCGTTGTGCCGCTGACTACTCCTCGATTCCGGCTCAGGCAGAACCCTGTCATCGTCGACGCCGTAGACACGTCCTTACGGATCCATCTGATTCACTAACATTACTATTAGACGCTTATAGTTCTAGCACTAGGAGTAGGTTTAG